AAAAAAGTTTATTAAGAGGAAATATTAAATTTATGCTGTGTATGCTTTTAATGTGTGGATAGAACAGCATGTCAGTGAACATGTCAGAACATAATAACATTAACTATGTCTAGTGTAACAAGTAAAATAACAAGTATGTGTTGGTGGTTTACATAGAATGTGTGTGTCTGTGTGTGTGTGTGTGTGTGTGTGTGTGTGTAAAGAGGTCCAGTCAGGAGGTCCACTTGAACATTTCTTCAAGAAAAGGAGAGACAAGTAAAGTGATCTCAGTTTACTTAAATGCAACATCACCATTATTCACAATAAATAAATGAGATCTCTAAAACTCACAGTTAAACTCTGCCTCAAAAAATAGCTGGTGGATTTTCAGCTTGGTGAGTTCCCTGCATTTAGGCTCAAGTCTCTTCAGGGCTGGCATCAAACTCTGCAGAAATTAACTAATGAACCATATTGTTACCAAATTAAGAAATTATGGATTTACTTGATAACAAAAAGCTTATGGTCAAAATACCAGCATTGTCTGTATATGAATAACGTGCCAAGACAATTATTTCAGTATGAAACCGTTTACTTCTGATAAAGAAAGGTGAAATTTGTACATCTGTATATAACATCTTTTTGTACATATAAATCTCTGGTTACACATTAACATCCTTTACACACTTTCTTCCTTTAATGCTTAATCTCCTTGAATCATTAAACCTTCCTTCTTTGTACACTTTACTGGCACGTGAAACAGCAGTCTGGGTCCTCTATGCTGTCGTAGAATCCTCTCAGGCAACCACGCTTCCCATTACCGTAAACACCTGAGCAGGATTTGAACACGCTTTTACATAGTTTACACGCTTTTATTTCAAAAGGCACTCGCAATTCAGCCTTTGATGTTTCACTCCATTTTCCCCAGTTCACAACACCTGTAGCCAAAAACACACACAAAACTGAACTCTTTCACATGCACATCTAAGATCGTTAGCCATTACAGTGCTTTAGAAAAAGCAAGATTACTTAAAGCCAACCTTATACTCATGAGGCCTTATGCATACTTCATTGCACACATTTAAACCTTAACACACTTACTGTCTAGCCATGCATAGTGTGCCTTCTGTCTGAACAGGGCCTTGTTTACAACTGCAACTGCAAGTAAGAGACAGATTCATGTAGGCAGCATCTCCATCCTGTAGCATTACTTCAAGGAGTATCATCTCCAAGACCTCCATGGGTAACTGGAAAGTATTTATAAAAGGATTAATCCATCTGCTTGAATGGAATATTACAGTATTCCAGCACAAAAGAAAAAAAGACATCTTACATCCAAAAGTTGCAACTCAGCAGTCATGCTTGCCTTTTGTGCCTAAAAGGATAGCAAAGAATACAAGTCAGTCTATATATGGTAAGAGAAGGATAAAAATGTCTTATTAAATGTCTCATACATTCTTTTCCGTATGCCTCATTTGTCTTTTTGTTGCCCGTCTTTCTTCATCAGACCTGCAATGAAAAGTAGTACAGGACAGGTATGTGTAATTCAATTCTGTTAAATGATGTAAATAAAACGTTCTCTCAAACTCAAAGGAAAAGCTAAGTCTTTGATCATTGAAGCAAGTATAATGTGATCGTGAAAAAAAGAAAACAAACCTCAAGGGGAAATTCTCCAAAAGCAGCAGACACCACCACCTCCTGATGCAAGGCACGTCAGGCTAAAATAAAAATAAAAAAATTACCTTTTAATAATATGGGGGTTTGCCATTGCATATTTCACTTACCTCTGTAAAATCAAAGGCCCCCGCTGTCACAAAGCTCAGTGAATACTGAAATGGTAAACATTACAAATACATTTGCTAAGATACATACACTGGATAAACATCTAATAAGCAACACATCAGCTTTATAAACTTACCATCAGGACAAAGACACCACAGCTGTTGCTGAGATGTTGTTGTGGAAGGCCCTGTTGATGTTGCCATGCACAGAGTCAAACTACCTTGAAAAAGTAAAACAATTTCCAATGCTTTTACAGTTATTCATTTTAATGAATATTGGTCCCGTAATATCGTTGACACAGTATTCATGCCAAGGCCCAGGAGACAAGATTTGTGCAATGATTCTGTGATGACAAAGACAAAACAAAGAACATACCTTAAAAAACAGTTACTGCACTGCAACAAACAAAACAATACAATACAAGAGAACTGAAATGTGGGGCAGAACCTGAACTTCCCATGAGTATTATATGACCATTTTCCTTGACAGTTTACAACAAAAGTGATCTGTAAAAAATAATTTGATCCTAACTCCAAAACCATTTAAATAAGCCTACTAAAAATAAAGTCAGATGAACAAGTCACTAGCTGATAAACCTACATGTGGTTAATAACAGCCACAGTTTTATTAAAATGTGGTTAGGAACGACCACAATCTCTGAACTCCGAACAGTGCACTATAAAACCTGTAGATGAGAATGTATTCTTCCTGACTGAATGTTTGGCCGTGCAGAGGATCAATGAAAAAAATGTCATGCTCTCCTGGGTTCATAATCTGTTGATATGTCACAATATATACACAGAAAGAAGACGACAGCAGTTTACAGATCAAAAAGTATCTAAAAATGATGCAGACATAAGTTATCCCAGATAAGCAACAGATTCAGAATTACTTACACAAACCATCCAATGTCCTGGTATCCATGTTGGGAAGATAAACCAGTCGATCTTTTCATCCAGCTTGAAAACAAATAATATTGGTCATCACCAAAATTTGGAAACTGTGTGTCTGGGTTTCATATTAAACAGAACTGACTATAATACATACAGGCAGGTGTAGAAGGTGCTCTTCAAGTGTCCTGTTTGGCCATGTTGCAATTTGATATGAATTGGCCGAAAAAAACATTCACATTCTGTATGGAAAATTGAACATACTTTAATCTAACCGAAGGCAAAATTGAGAATTTTAAATACTAAATACAACAACAGCTGAGAGTATTAACATTCTGACCACTGTAAGCACATCTACAAAAGTATATTTCAGCCACGGAGCTGCTTAAAAGGATAGTTCACCCAAAAATAAAAATTTTGGTCTATGACTGTACCTGTATATACTTCTATAGTATTTTTTCCCCCCAATACAATGGAAGTTAATGGGGACCAGCAACTGTTTGGTTACCAGTCATTGTCTTCATCTTTTGTGTGAACTCCAAACACAAAAGATAAAGACAAACTCATACTGGTTTGGAACAACTTGAAGGGTGAGTATTTAACATCCATAATGATGAATATCTAGGCTCCACAGACAGCTGTAGAGAGTGAGTAAATGATGACAATGTTCATTTTGGGTGAATCCCTTTAAGCGGCTTAAGTAATTTGAGCACAAAGTATAGACTATTTCACCTGTGATTTTGCTATAGTCTCTGCCACTTTCAGGCAACAGTTGAGAACCTGCGTTAAAATAAAACAGAAAATCAATATAAACAACATCAACCATTAATTGCTATATTCAAATATAATGTCTTTGAACTGTGTACCGTTCCCTCAATGTCTTTTTCCAGTCCCAGACAGCACAGGTCTGATCGTTTTAGCATTGTGTTATATGCAGTTGCCAATGGCTCGTCTTTGCACTTTTCGACATCCAAAGCATTGTTTAGCTAACATTCAGATAAAGATACATCAGTGCTCAGGCTGATGAACAGTATTTTGTAAAGATAAAATCCCTCAAATGAACTTACCAACTGCTGTTGCCCCTCATTTGGCATGATTCCCCAAAATGTTTAGCTTGCTTTAACTACGTTCAGGCTTGTTACCACAGGATTTGGACAACATTTAGGGTCACACTGCGACTGGACAGCTGTACATAAGTAAAAGATACAAACAAGTCACTTAAATTTAAGCAAAAATCACAAACTTCTATGAGTTAAAGAACAACTTCAACCTGTATGCGTTTCTTTCTCATTCGGAGTTGTATTCAAAGTTTTTGCAAGGGGAAATGGCTCTTAAAAGAGCCTTTGAGTTATAAAGTGAACAACACCACAAAAGAGGAGAGAGATGGAGGGGTGGGGATGACCATGACAAGGATCTGCAAAAAGAAGGAAATACAGAGAATCGGTATTAGCATAAAATGTTTTATTTTTTACTCGTGCAGGGGTGTCCAAAGTCGGTCCTGGAGGGCCGCTGGCCTGCAGAATGCCTCAACACGCATGCCTAGAAGTTTCTAGTATGCCTAATAAGGTCTTGATCATTCTTTTTGCGCAAATCATCGTTTCATTTGCGAACATAGCCTTTCGAGCAAGGCTTTAAGACCAAGCGGAATCCTCTGGCCTCTGGTTCACAGCGCCTGCGTTTTGATTTCGGCAGATCCGTTTGAGCGAATGCAAACAACATCCAGCAAGGCAAGAAGACATGCAATCTGCCTGAGGTAAGAAGCCCTTCACTACTGTAAGTTAGTGTTAAATAGAGGAAATAATAATAATTTTAAAATGTAAAATGTTTGCTTCTAGCGTATTCTTAAACTTAGACCTCATTATTGAAGCACAAATGCAAGCACCACAAGCAGCCCACGCTCACTAAGTTCTTTTTAATTTTTCATTCATTCATAGGCTGTATGGTTACAAAAGGTGTGTTATGACTATGTTGTCCTGAGTGTATAATATGTTATATAGTTTTATGGTTATGTTGCGAGCCTAAGTATAGTTTTACACATCAGCCCAGTCTATTATGTAACGTTAGTGATACACAGAGTTGGGGGTTTTCGCAAATTAATCTTACAATAAATGTGGCACAACCAGTTTTTCTGATGCACACCCAGAGTCTCTTCTCCACACAAGCGCGAGCGCAGGAGGAAGCGTCCCGTCTCCACGCCTGATATTCGCATTTGATTTTTATGCAGTAAATATATTTGTTTGACTGGGAAGCTGTGCGCAAACTGGAATATATATAACATATTAATAATAATAATAAATAAATAAATAAAAGCACCTGTCGAGGAAGAAAAAGGGCAGGTGCTCAAAGCCCGGATGTGTCTGCGAAGCATTGTATTTCCGATCGCGCCACGATCTGCTCTGCCAGGACAGATATAGCTATATTTCTAAAGTTAGGGTATAATATACTGGCTCTTTAAACGTCATTCACATCGCTGAGAGAAGCAGTGATCCTCATTCCTCTGCTGTTGCAGTCCAGGATCCAGTCTCGTGCGGCTCTACAGCAGAGATCCAGCGGAACAGAAGCAGAAACATCTCATCCGTCATCTTTATTCAGTTCAGAGTCTTCACGGATCTACAGCAGCACGTGCAACATGTCGCGCTTTGTGTTTTTATTATTAATATACGGTAAGTTCGGAACCTCGATCTCCTTTCGGTTTCGCTTTCGGTTCTTATGTTTATAGAGAAGTTGTTTTTGTGATGATTTCACTGTTCAATGATGATTTATTAATGACAGAAGAAGTAGAGAGAAACTGAAGAAGAGATCCTATTCTTGAAAAGTATGTTTGTCCTGAAGCGAGACGCTATGAAGCCTTGAGAAGCAGCACCAAGCGCCAGTGGCAGAAACCTTGTTAAGTCTTTTTAAGACACGTTGTTTTGTGTTTAAGAACTAGTTTGACACACTTGCAGAGGTGGACAGTAACGAAGTGCATTTATTTGAGTACTGCACTTAAGATAACATTTCTATCAAGGTCCTCGAAGTGGAAAGTCGTTACTATGTAGCAGCTTTGAAAGTCAGTCGGTGAATTTTTTCTTTAAAAACGTGACTTTGTTCTTTCTTTTTTTCAGACAGTTTATCAGTAATCACTCTTGTAGGGCTACATGAAGTGATTTCCAAGCATTATTTGAACACTGACCAGTTGCAAATGTGATATTTATTTACAACAATTCAATAATAAGAAGTTACTATCGTGGTAGGCTATATATTAGACACAATATCGTCTGATGTTGTGTAAACTATTACCTATAAAGCCACTGAACTATGTAGCAGCTTTGAAAGTCAGTCGGTGATTTTTTTCTTTAAAAACGTGACTTTGTTCTTTCTTTTTTTCAGTTTATCAGTAATCACTCTTGTAGGGCTACATGAAGTGATTTCCAAGCATTATTTGAACACTGACCAGTTGCAAATGTGATATTTATTTACAACAATTCAATAATAAGAAGTTACTATCGTGGTAGGCTATATATTAGACACAATATCGTCTGATGTTGTGTAAACTATTACCTATAAAGCCACTGAAGAACTGTTGTGTGTCTCCTAACAAAACACAGGTGTTTGACTGAACACCTCAACTCTATTTTCTATATTTCTATAGGTTTTTAACATTCTAAAAGCTCTTTATTCCAAAGATACTGCAAGCTAGTCAGTGTATTCAGTAGGTGTAATGCGTAATGTAAGGCACAAGGTATTGCAAGTATTACATACAACAATCATAAAACAGTGCGTTGACATAAAAAAAGGAAATTTACTTTTGATGCTTAAGTAAAAGTACAGAAGTACTTGCTTTTAAAAGTACTTAAGTAAAAATCTATCTTTACAACTTTCACTTAATGGAGTAATGTTTGCAGTTAGTCAAGGGGTAATAAATCTATATTGTCCAAATCAAATTGAACCAATCTACCACTTTACATAGATGCTATTAAATAGTTCTGACTAGTCTTGAAGAAAGAAAAAAATTGATGTCTAACTTTTAAGACAGTCTGAGCAGTTTATGCAACTGCTATATTTCTTTTCAAGTTACAGTCTCTGAAAACAAATCTTTAAAGGCAAGTTCACCCAAAAATAAAAATTATGTCCTGAAGTTGTGCTAAACCTATATGAGTTTTCTTTTTATTTCTGTGTTGGGAAAAATAAGATATTTTCAACAGTTGCTGGGCACCTTTGACTTCCATAGTATGAAAAGAAGAAAAAAGTCAATGGGGACCAGAAACTTTTTGGTTGCCAAAATTCTTCAAAATGTCTCTTTTTGTGTTCAACATACAGGTTTAGAACAACTTGAGGGTGAGTAAATGATGACAGAATCTTCATTTCTGGGTGAACTTCAGACTTTAATCACTTACGCAGTGTTGCTTGTCAAGTACATTTATCTTGTTTCATTGCTAGCTTCGTTGTGTCTGGTCTGAATGTTCCCTTCACAATCTGAAGAGTGATTCCACATCTGTTTGTCTTCAGGTGAATGTGTTGCTGAAGTCAGTAAAACGGCTGTGTCTGGTGCAGAGACGGAGGGATCTGAGTCAGTGACAGTGATGGAGGCAGATTCTGTCACTCTACACACTAACCTTTCTGAACTACTCAACGACGACACCATACTGTGGATGTTCGGACCTAAAGACTCTCTCATATCTCAAATAAAGAGAAAGCTTGACTTGACCTCATTTTTAGTCACCGATGATGTTAGATTCAGTGGCAGATTGCAGGTGGATCAAAAGACTGGATCTCTCTCCATCACAAACACCAGAATCAGACACTCGGGACAATATAAACTCTCCATCTCTAGAGAAAAGACCACGACAAAGACATTTAGTGTTACTGTCATTAGTGAGTACCTAAAGTCTTTCTGTGTGACATCAGCTGCTCTTCCACCGTTGGGCCAAACCGTTCCCAGAGCCAGTTGCCAGTTTATTTGTTTTTGAGTTTTTTCTCACAATTCTGAGTTTATATCTCACAGCTCTGACTTTTTCCTCAGTATTGGTGATATAAGCTCACAATTCTGAGTTTCTTTCCTGCAATGGAGAGTTTATATTTCACAATTCTGACTTTTTTCTCACTATTACAAGTATATAGCTCTCTTTTTTTCTTCTCACAATTCAGAGTTTTTTTTCTTGCAATGAGAATTTATATCTCGTAACTCTTTTACCTTTTTCCTCAGAATTGGTGGATATAAGCGCACAATTCTGACTTTTTTCTTCACAATTACACGTTTTATCTCAAAATTCAGACTTTTTTTCTCATATTTGTGAGTTTTTTTTCCTGCAATTGTGTTTATATCTCACAATTCTGAGTTTTTTTCTTGCAATGGAGAGTTTATGCCTCACAATTCTGACTTTTTTCTCAATATTGCAAGTTTATATCTCTCTATTTTTTTTAGGTTTTTTTTTTTCTTGCAATTGAGAATTTATATTTCGCAGTCCTGGCTTTTTCTCACAATTGTGAGTTTATATCTCGTAACTCTGACTTTTTTCGTGCAATTGCGTGTTTTTTATCTCACAATTATGACTTTTCTCGCAATTGCAAGTTTATTTGTTCAGCCCGGCGGTGGAAAAGCAGCTAATGATCCGGGTTTAGATCAGTCTGTTAATAATTTAGTCATTATAAACCATGGATTATTTCACAGCATTAATGTTTATCCTGGGTTAGTAGTTATGGTTATTCAGGTTTCATGATTTCAGACCACACATCTGCATTTATTGAGTGAGGGTTTCCAGAATTTGCACCACATGTTGTTAGCGTTGTGCTTGTTTCGCAGGCGTGGCCGATGAGACGGACGGAGTGCAGTCCGTGTCAGTTTCAGTGACGGAGGGAGATCCTGTCACTCTACGCATTGATGCTGAAATGCACAAAGATGCTCTGATGCTCTGGAGGTTTGGAGATCAAGGAATCCTCCTCACTAGAATCGATACTGAATCTAGTGAAGTCTCATTAAACGATGCTGATGAGAGATTCAGAGGTGGACTGCAGCTGAATCAGAACGGATCTCTGACTATCAAGAAGAGCAGAAGTGAACACGCTGGACTTTATGAGCTGCAGATCAGAGGCCGTGAGAGCGCGCAGCGATTCCTTCTTTCTGTCAATGGTGAGGAACTGAAAGAGCACGTCTTGGCATGCAGTATTTGAAGTCATGTGACTGACACCTGGACTGTCTCTCTATAGCTGTCCCAGATCCAGGTCTTTCTTCAGGTGCTGTAGCAGGAGTTGTTTTTGGTGTTTTAGTTCCAGTTTTGCTGCTTGCGGCTGCAGCTTTGGCTCTCATTTACTATCGCCACAGGATCTCTAAATTAAAAAAGCAAATGGGTAAGTCTGTAGCTGTCCCAGATCCAGGTCTTTCTTCAGGTGCTGTAGCAGGAGTTGTTTTTGGTGTTTTAGTTCCAGTTTTGCTGCTTGCGGCTGCAGCTTTGGCTCTCATTTACTATCGCCACAGGATCTCTAAATTAAAAAAGCAAATGGGTAAGTATTATATACTTTAGAAAGGATTTCCATCTCCTCCAAACTTGGTAGAACTGCATTTCATTATTTTGAGTCACTCGATTTCTCCATTTATTTTAGAGTCCAGTACTATGAAACTATAGCTTAACAATCTACTTGCCTTCTACTCCTGCATTTCAAATACACGAGCCAATCGCTGATTGGTAAAGTCATCAAATGCAGTGTTTTAAATGATTCGAGTGTTTAGAAACAAAATGTATGAGACAGTTGTCGTCAGATTTCATTGGTGCTTTCAAATATGAAGTTTAATCATAAGCTTGGCGAGCAGTTTTGGAGAATTTAATGTTTGCTCATTCAAAGGGATAAAAGCTGCACTTGCATGACTGAAATAGAGACTGAAATGACTTGCCTGAAAGGGGCTTTGACACTCGTGAACACATTTCTGTTCTCTCTTTCTGTGTGAAGCTGTGGCAGGCGAAGAGAAGGAAGAGACAGTGACGGAGGGAGATTCTCCAACTCTACACACTGGTCTTACTGAAATAAATGCTAATGATATGATAGAGTGGTGTTATGAAGCTGAAGACAATCGCATTGCTCAAATCAATGGAGGGACCAGAAGCACATCTACATTAGCGGGTGCTGATGGGAGATTCAGGAGCAAACTGATGCTGGATGACAGAACTGGAGATCTCACTATCAGTAACGTCAGAACCATTCACTCTGGACTCTATAAACTAAACATCAGCAGCAGCATACAAACCAAACACAAGAGATTCATTCTTACTGTCAGTGGTAAGTATCCCTTACCAAAAATAAGTATACTTCAAGTTTATTTGATTAAGTATACTTAAGTAAAGTTCAAGTTTATTTTATGTAGTAAGTATACAAATATCAGTGTACTAGTAGTTTACTTGTAAGTGCACTATTTCAATACTCCTTGGGACTAAATTGGCCCACTTTCTAGATAAAAGTATACTTTAAGTATAACAGTAGTGAACTTTGTTTAAACTAGTTTACATCTATGTTTTTAGTTTGTACTGCAACTATACTCGAAAGTATACTTTCCTATTTTTTTAGTTTAAAAAAAGTATACTAATAGCACACTTGAACTTGAACTTCTCAATATCAACTCTTCTAGTGTGGTAAAGAGCGTGCACCAAATGATCTGAAACACATTCACACTAACTCAAACATTACATTGCTTTTAGACTGCTTGCGAGTATAGGGCCATGTTATGAATTCATAATGTCATGAGAACAAAGCCTATAAAATTAGGAGATTAAAGATGAATAAACATGCATATTTTGAGGAGAAACAAGTCTCAAAACGAGAAAAGACATGATCAGGAATCATAGATAAGGCTGGTTTGACAATATCGATTACCCAATTTTAATGCATCTTCATTTCTTAAGGCTACATCTACATTAATCTATTTACACGACACTGTTTTCAACTAAAAATGAGAAAGTTTATGCATTTTGGCTGTCCATTTACACAATAACAGTGTTTTGCTTTTGAAAACGGGTTTCAAAGTGCAAGTTTTTTGAAAAACTAAAATGCAAATTTGTGAAAATGGTGACATCATGCGCATGCATATTACCTGTTCATCTATAGGCACATAGTGTTTCTTTACAAAGTGGTATCGCCATCTACTGGCCTGGCAGAATAACACATGTTTCTAATTGTTTTCATGGATCCGTGTGAACGAGGATCGTTTTGACAACGTTTGAATACATTTGCAATTAAAAACAAAATTTTATGACGCAGCTGTTTAAATGCTTACATTTAACCGACTGTAGTAACAAAAGTAGCTTATTTCATTAAGAGAAAATAAATAAAAACTATTTAAAAATGTTTGTATTTTGACTGTTGATTATTGTATCTAAACAGTCAATCTGGACCGAGAGGATTCCCTGTATAGTTTACTGCATTAGCCATTACGTTTTAAACAATCTCATGTAAATGTCTGTGATATTGATTCATTCAGCCGCTTGTTTTTCTGTCCTTCTCTGTTTCTGTGTGCTGCTGTGACATGAAGTGAAGTCGATGTCAGTGAAGGAGGGAGCTTCTGTCCTTCTCCAGACTGCTGCTGAGATTCAGACGGATGATCTCATACTGTGGACGTTAGGAGCTCAAAACCGTCTCGTTGTGAAAAGTGATTCAGGAAAGACGAGTATCGGAAAGCGCTTTAGAGACCGACTGGATCTGAACATGACGACTGGATCGCTGACCATCAGAAACATCAGAACCACAGACTCTGGACATTTTAAACTGCAAATCATCAACAGCGAACAGACCACATTCAGGAGATTCAATGTGACTGTCACTGGTGAGCAGAACTGCATTTATTAATGTGTGTGTGTTTGTTTAGTTACTTAATTATACAACAGTCCTCAACAGGGTTCTCCACTTGTCTGTGTTTGTGCATTTCAGAATACATGAGCATCTCTAAGGATGTTTTTTTTTAAGAGTTTAAAGAATTTGCAAAATGTTGAAATGAAAAAAATATACATAGATTAAGTATATTTAGGCATTTTGGATATCCAGTGATCATGTCAGTGGAGTTTTTGCATTATTTTCTCTGTGTTTAATTGTTGAGATAAAACTTTACACTGTGATTTTACAGAGTTTCTTCTTATTGCACATTTAATGAAAAATAAGTGCAATTATTTCTTGAGTGTCTGTTCTGTACATTTTAAGTAAGGCAAAATGTCAGCTGGTTGTTATAACAAACCCGTTCATATTCAGTGACCACATCTGTCAAAAGCTTAAAATGATGAAAACACCACAAAAATAGTCCTGAAAATGCTGTTTGTGAGGAACAGAGCAAAAATCTAAGTCTTTATTCACTGATAATCGTTTTGTATCTTCTGAAGTCAACAAAAAGATGAACTTGCTTCTTTCAGCCGTTTCAGTTTCTATGATGGTCTCGGTGTTTTCTTCCAGATTCCACAGCTGAAGGAGCGAGTGAAGAAACGACTGTAGTGACGCCGCTGTTGAATGGGGAAGTCACTGATGGAGGGAACGAGCCGCAGGCGACGAGTCCAGTTTGATGAGACAAGACACGCCCACCGCTGTGACATCATCGGCGGTCACGCTCAACCGCATTGCTGCTGCCGGTGAACAATGTGAAAAACGTTGGAAAGAAGTTCTAGTGAATTCTTGTGTGATGAGCACATGACAAACAGCGGGTTACAGCCACCGAGTAAAGCGTTCTCTGTCCACACCGAGGACGAGTGACACTCTGAACTGATCCAAATCTGTGCTGGAAGAGCTGTAGCTGCATCTGAACCAGATCCAGACAGACAAGATGATGCAAAACAGGCAAACACTGAACCTTTTGTCACTTAAAACACTACTCTGCATTTGTCTGTGTTTATATTGTACATTATAATGAAAGTGTTGGTTTTCTCTGTCATATCAATGTTAGTTAGTGGAACTCGTGTTGTAAGCTATGCTGCATTTAGTCAGTTAGAGATCAGAGAAAGTCTCCATTTCAAGGTTTTCTTGTCATATGATGCTGATTGATGACTGATGATGATGCCGTTCTTTAATAATATGATAATCATTTAATAATATGATTTTCAGTCACAAGGTGGAGCTGAAGCGGCATCATCTGCAGTCGGAGAGTCATATTTTGGCGGTGCGCAATAATCCTAATAGCATCCAATCTCTGGTAAAATTATTAAAATGTTTAATATGTTATAATGAAACATGTGCAATTTATATTTTGCTTGGAAATATTTGTAATTAATTTACAAGGTTTGCACTTTTCAGCTGTTAAGGCCTTGTCTTTCTATGCTTTGTTGGTGCTACAGCAGGATCTTTAGGAGAGACATACTGGGTGCTTTTTTAATAATTGAACAGAATGAAATATACAACAGTATGTACAAATCGTTGATTCATTAATCAAAAACTGAAGATGTGTGAAAAACAGTACAAGTCTTCTTTGCTTTGTATTAACAACATTCTCCAAATTGGTGCACTAGTCCTTAGTCTCCTGAAGAAAATGAGTGAAATTTGGCTTGGATCCTGACCTTTTCTTCTGATGTATGTGAAATTCTCCCAAAGTAATAAAAAGTCGTACAAGAAAATAATGTATTATTAACTTCTTTGTAATAATATATCCATATATCACAATTATTTAACTTGAATATAGTATCTGTTTTCCTTCTAATGACATTTTCCATATCCTTGTGTACACCATCACAAAACAAATGGACAACAGACTTCTTTTCCATTGAACAAAAATCACAGGAATAATCAATATCCAAAATAAATCTCTAAGACGCTTTTAGCTGGATGTATACCATGTAAAATTTTAATTGTAACCTCTTTTACGGTATCTTTGAGAAATACGCCAAGCTTTATTCCAATTTATAGTTCTAGATACATTGGTCCACATCCAGCTTTTATGAGTAGCTGTATCACTCGTTATTCTTAATATATTTATGAGTACAACTCACTGCTGGCTCAGAAGAATCACTTCCACAAGCAAAGGCAGATATTTTGAAGACTGGTTATATCCAGGCTGTTTTAGCGCACCTTTGACTTCCATAGTAGGATACAAATACTGTAGAAGTCAATGGTGCCCCAGAACTGTCCTGTTTCCCACGTTCTTCAAAATATCATCCTTTTGTGTTCAGCAGAAGAAAGAAATGTACACAGGTTTGGAACAACATGAGGGCGAGTAAAGGAAAGCGTTTTATATCTCTTTAAGTAATTCCACAATCCTGCAGCCTCTTCTCAGCCTTACAGTCTACCTCTATTTTTGAGGAATTATCAGCATTAAAGCAGAAACAATCACTTAAGGTTTTTTCTCCTTTATTCTTTGTTCTCTTTGTATTCCCCTATCGTCCTCAACTACAGTGGTGTTGAACTGTGTGCGCTTCACACTCCAGACCAGCGGGGGGCGGAAATACGCCTTATATAACGCCTTAAAAACACGAGAAGAAGAAGAAGAAGAGACACGTTCTGAACTGCTGTTTCAAAACACAAGATTTGCGACGTTTTCAAAGCATCACGAATCATTTACAAGCGAAGAAATGCATTCAGAGCAGCAGGAAGAACAGAAACCTGTAACGACAGAGTTTATTGAAGATTACAGTGAGAGCACGAGAGATCCAGAACCCTTCAGAGTGAAGCATGAAGACACTGAGGAAGAAAGAGGTTGGTGTTTATTCCTGATTCTTCATTAGCGATGCTGGGAAAACATTAAGGTTATGAAACTTGAAAGAATTTCATCAGATTTTATGGTTGTAGTCAGTCAGTATAACGAAGGCTATCCATCAGTACACTGAGGTAAATGTAAAGTTAACTTAAGTAAAAGTTAAAGATGCTCACTTATTAAAACTGCTTTAGTATCAGAAGTTCTAGTAAATGGTATAAATAATGGCACAGTTGATTGGTGGGCTGCTGGAGTCTGTGTGATGATAAGCAGCAGTTAAAGGTGCAGTGTGTAGATGACAGCGAGATGGCGTTAGCAGACGTTTTTCTCCACGTTTGCGGAGTCGCGTTTTGACTTAGAAACGTGTAGAGCTCATGTTTATTCAACGGAGTCAAAGCATTTTGGAAAATCTATTTGTGGCAGTAAGTGTTGATATTGTGGCGGGCCACCACAAATAAATCAGTGTATGGGAAACCCTGCTTTTAAAAACGTGAGACACAGTGCACTGAAATGGAAGAGAGTGCAGAGTTGAACTAAAAGTTGAACTTCTTTTAACTTGACAAGTTTTTTTAAATGAAGCACAATAGTCAAGGACATCCGTCTAACTCATGTTTATTTAGCAAAACAAGCTTTTTGCCGTTGTTGTCACTACTTGGATAGTATTACCAAGAATACCTCATCGCCTCAGGAACTTGGTGTATGTTTACATAACAGAGATGTATTAAAAACAGACAACAGCATTGTCAAAATGATCTCGTTCACATGGATCTGCGAAAACAACTAAAAAGGCAGCATTAGGCATGCCAGGCCATTAGGGATGGGCGATATGGGCTTAAAAATATATCACGATTATTTCTGATATTTATTGCGATAACAGTATCAATGACGATAATTTAGGGAATCCTGTTTCTTTAGAGCAGTGGTCACCAACCTTTTTAGGCCCAAGATCCCTGACCTCGTATCGCCCATCCCTACAGGCCAGTAGATGGCAATGCCACTTTGTCAAGAAATACCCTGTGAAAACATAATACCCATGCGCATGGGATCAGTGCTTTCACAAATGCCCAAAGCGTGAAACAAATAATGCGTTATACGGAGCCATTAAAAGGTTAGCCGCTTGCTAGCGGTAGCCTGTTGCATTACAGTACTGAAAAGATCACTTACCACATACACAGAGTAAGGAGAAATGTCTGATAGGATGATGGCGAATTATTTGCAGATCCTGAGCACCAATGACAAACATCTAATCTTGTCAAATGTGTGGTAAATACTGCCGCTCCATAGTATAGAGTCCTTGTGATCGCGGATCTCAAAAGTGAAAGTAAAATGAGAGCGCGCAATCGAAAGTGGTTTCAATAGCGGCTCCCTGATGCCCGCAATTTATATACAGTCGCCTATACTTACCCAACGATATAATTGAGAGAAAAAGTATTGAAATATTTTTTTTATCCTCCAATCTCGTAGGCTATTTATTCCCTTAAGTTTTTCCGTAGTACACTTCATTACCTTTCCGAACACGGAACTGGGATGTGGCGGATTGCGGGAGAGGAGGGGGAGGAATCACGATGTCAGCTTAATATCGTTATGTCTGTCAGCCATCGGCGATGGACTATGGCATCGTCTATCGGCCCAACCCTAACCTGTACCTTCCAAATTTATTCAAACAGCAAATAAATTATACAGAGAAAGCGAACAAAGAACATTTACATTGTCAAGGAACAGTATGACTGACTTCAGTCTAGCGCAAGTTCAAGCACTCTCAAAAAACTCCCCTTATAATCAGTAAAGCTGTCTATACACTGTTTGATGAATGAATCTCTTACTTGCATCGTATGTACATCTGCGCATTGTTTTTTTTTTTTATGAGAGAATCTGCGAGAGCGTGCACACTGAACAAAAAATCTCCGGTGTTTCAGCGATGACTCATCTGAACGCCTCTGATTGGCCATTGCATTCATAAGCTCAACAGACTCATGTGTGATTGGTTATAACGCGCAACACTGTAAAAATGCGTAAAAAGAATCATGGTGCAGCATTGCGCATCTAAATTTAATGCTGCAGTCAACACATTTCATTTCATTTTCATTTTATTCGCGACAGCCGTAATGGATTTAGTTTAACTGTACAACAGTATTTTTGTCCACATGTGTTGCCATAGTTTCTACAAGCGGAAACCGATAGCGCGGATATTACGTCATTGATAGGCGACAATGAACCATGACGAGCCATTATTTAAAATCGAAATTTCTCTGGATTTACAAATCCTTGGGAACTTTTGGGATAACGTAAGTGCACAACTGCATGAAATATATGACACTGTGCAAGTGTTTTTTGGACATTTTATTATGATAATCTTACATATATTATGCCTTTAAAAAGGAGATTTCTGTCATTCACACTTTCACACATTATATTTATGTCATACTGCATGTAATCACCATTTAATGATGTTAACTTGAGCCAAAAAAATATGTATAATGGCAAACACTGATTACAATTTGCAAACTGAACTGATCAAAAATTAATTTGCAAAAATGTATTGACGATATTGCCATGTCTGATCAGCAAAGCTGTTCTTTTTGTTATTTTTTGCACTTTGCTGTTGCAAATTTAACGAAAGTGTCTGGAGAAATCTACGTATGTGTTTCAATGTTCTCAGCAAAATTATTAATACTTGAGTAAAGAGGAAATATCCTTTATTCTGTACTTAAAGGCACAATATGTAAGATTTTTTTAATTAAAATATCCAAAAACCACTAGAACAGTGTTATATATTTTGCTGACTTGTGTACTTACATTATCCCAAATGTTTCGAAGAATGTTTAAATCCAGAGAAATAAGCAATTTTAACTAGTGACACGGTCCGGTTTTGTTTTGTAGAAAACATGGAAACACCAAAGACGCTTTAATATGTTGTGTGTTTTAATAGACCGGTGACGACTGTACAGAGTAGCATTATAACAGAACTAAATGTATCTAGTATGATAAAACAGCGCTGCTTTACCCCACATACGCACGACCGGAAGCAGCGGAAGCGCTCGACTGTGGCATAATAAAAGCTCCGCTGCTTTCCAGCCGTGTGTCGCGCTCGTTCAGCGCCTCATTTCGCTTCGACGGCTTTCAGCCTCACCCTGCTTCATTCTACTACGTTAATAAATCATTAGCTCATCCATGAACATGATTTCTGCCCGAGTCCCGTCGGATTGCATCGGCTGTGGAGATGAAGACCACAACTCCCATGATTCCACACTCAGTCACGGCATCATCAAACTACGCCTTTGTCTATTTGTTTATTTTGAATACGCGCCCTCTAGCGGCGAAAATTACATATTGTGCCTTTAAGTACAGTAACATTTAACATTTTATAGGACTATGAATGAAATAGCTTTTTTGTAATTTGCTTAAAATGCAACTTTTTTACTTTCATTTTAGAAATGATGGAAGAGAGTGAAGAACTGAATAAAGGGGAGGAGAATGATCATGTCAAACATGGAGAAAAATCTTTGAGTTGCTCAGAATCAGTACTGAGAAGAAGAGCCAACAAAAACTTCACTTGCCCTCAGTGTGGAAAAACATTCCTATACAAAAAAAGTCTTATAGATCACACCAGAATTCATACTGGAGAGAAGCCGTTCACATGTGATCAATGTGAGAAGAGTTTCACACTAAAAATAAACCTTATTGAACACATGAAAATCCACACTGGAGAGAAGCTGCACATGTGTGATCAGTGCGGGAAGAGTTTCACACAGAAAAGAAACCTTAATGAACACATGATAATCCACACTGGAGAGAAGGCACACACATGTGATCAGTGCGGGAAGAGTTTCACACGAAAAGGATACCTTAAGGATCATGTGAAAATCCACACTGGAGAGGAACTGCACACATGTGGTCAGTGCTGGAAGAGTTTCATATACAAACAAAGTCTTAAAGACCACATGACCGTTCATAATGGAGAGAAGCCACACACATGTGATCAGTGCGGGAAAAGTTTCACACAAAAAATAGACCTTACGGATCACATGAAATTCCACACTGGAGAGCTGCTGCACACGTGTGGTCATTGCGGGAAGAGTTTTGTACAAGCAGTCAGTCTTAAATCACATCTGCGTTCTCATTCTGGAGAAAGACCATTTAACTGTGATCAGTGCGGTAAAACGTTTTTTTGGGCAGAATCCCTGAAGAGGCACCTGAATGTTCATACACAGGAGAAGCCTCATGTGTGTTCTTTGTGTGGAAAGAGTTTTTCACTACTGGATAGTTTTAAAATACACCAGAAACGACACAGTAGTTTAAAGAATCACATGTGCTTGGATTGTTGGAAGTCCTTTTTTACAGATGGTCATCTGAGGATGCACCAGAGAATTCACACTGGAGAAAAACCTTACAAGTGTTCACAGTGTGACAAGAGGTTCAGTCAGTCATCAAATCTGAAAACACATGAGAAGATCCACACTGGAGAGAGACCACACATGTGTGATCAGTGTGGGAAGAGTTTCACATTAAAAGGAAACCTTAAGGAACACATGAAAATCCACACTGGAGAGAAGCCACACATGGCTGCACACTTTAAAAGTACACCAGAAGACACATACCAGTGCGAAAGCAGTGTGAAAAGACATTTGCTACAGCGGACAAATTAAAATGTCTCCAGAGAATTCACACTGGGGAAAAGCCTTTTGAGTGCTGGCACAATGACAAGAGATTCAGTCTGTCAGGACACGGAAAACCACATGAGATGATCCACATTGGAGAGGAGTCGTATCTGTAGGAATCACTAAGTGTAGTGTCATTAAGTATAGTTCTTGTTCAGATCCAGCACTTTCAAGTGCAACTTTGCATCAAGACCAGCAGTTTCAAGTGTTGAGATTGAGTTCCTCCAAAAATAAGAATATTTAAGAAGTGTCACTCTTAATTAATTTTCTCTCTTTCACGTTTCATTGGACAAGTTGTAAGTCAATAAAAAGTTATCTTATTCGTTTTCACTCTTATTTTTTTTTATATTTGTTCACAAACTAGTCATTGATGAAACTAGTTACTCATTTTACCAACAGCTTTTGATGATGGGGACAAAGAAAAAAAAAAAAAGAAGAAAAAATGTTATCTTGCACTTTTGGGTCCCCACTATAAACTTTGCGTTCCCTTGCAAATCTCTTGCAAGTGAATGTACAATTCCACAGGGGAACACAAAACTTTTGCAAGTAAACTGTCAAATGCTCTCTGTGTGTGTGCATGGACTTCAGTGTTTACCACAGACTTACACTCTATGTGTGGCGGCACTTCCTCTGTGGGAAATATATATGTATATAATGTAAATATAAAACAGCAGACGGGCTTATTGAAAATGCAAATTGCCATTAGTCAGAAGTGCCAGCAGGAGGCGCTTTTGGAGCAGCAGAAATAGCGGTTTCCCCAGTAACGGCTGAAATCAAAACAGCGCTGCGCTCACGAATGCTACTTTATCAGGCATTATAGGAAAGATTAAATGAAAATGACATCTAAACTTTTCTGAAGACAGTCGGTTCCCTTAAAAGATACATTCATATAAAAACACCTGTATTGACTTTGAAATGTGCAGTGCACATGTTTATTCAACAAACAAATAACACACCGGTTACACTCAGAGATGTGGCGCACACGTGAGGCTGTAGTGTGAATGCGTCCCAGCCCCCTTAGATGTAAGGCTACATTTACACTGGTGCGTTTGTTTTAAAATGAAAACGATCCTTGTCATACTGGCGTAGCGGCGTCTCCGACAAGCCACAGACCGGTCATTCAGTCATCCATTTCCAATGGAGAGTAGCGTGGGAGCTGCGTGGAGTTCCGATCATATGCAGATGTCTGTTCATACTAACGTTACACGACCGAAAGCGCGTGTTATGTGGCCATTCATGCAAACTGTAGCATCATGCTACATAAGACAATAAATAAGATTTATATTCCG